AAAATGGGTGGATTGAGAAATAATCCCATCACCATCAGATAGAGTTGGGAATATTTATCAGCACTCCTGAAGTAAGACCTTAAAGTAAAAATACCTAATCTTATAATCTGATTTGTACTTTTTATTTTGAATCCTTGGTCTTAGAGTTTTCCATCTGTGAGCTCTGCTGTGTCTAAAGACGACTCCTTAAACATCCTCGTCTATTCAGACACTTGCTTGGGGACCATAAGGAGAGCAGTCGCTGGCATTCAAGAGCAGCTGAAATTACAGATTGAAAAACTGTCCTTTAAAGGTCTGTCAAGATGGAAAAAATCATTAGGCCATTCATTATCTTTATTTATCACAATTTCAATTTTACTCAATTACTGTGTTCCTGTTGTCTTTCAGAGCACAAAAAGGTCCAGCAGTATGAAGGTAAAACTTAGGGGACTTTCAGATTATTTTTGCATTAACTCCCCTTTATTTGTTTTTTTATAAACTTAATTTCTGTTGACCTTTATAACATTGTAAGAATGGATATATAAAAATCTTGACTAGCTAACATTAAATTTGAGAGCAAACAAGGAACGATCAAAGCCTTTCTTGTACATCCAAACTACACAGCTTTGCTAATTTGTTGGAAAACCGATTAAAGATGTTTTAAATTCTTAAAGTAAATCCAGGTTTTACTGTAGTTGTTTTATTTTTTTACTTTTTAATTAGGCCTACCCCTGCCTTTATGTCATGGATGGGTTATGGGAGTTAGATTTTTCAAGCACCACATCACATTACATAGTAAGATGTAAAATACATCAAACTTCATAAAATGTTTGATTCTGATTCCTGTTTTGAAGAGTGGCTGTGATTGGGGTTTGAGTTAAATAGTTTTTATACCTCTAGGTGAGAAAGTCTTTATTAGTTATTAAATTTCTTTAACATTAAAATCTTCAAAGAAGTTCCTCAATTATTTACAATTCTCAATTTTATTTTTGTCTATCCATTGGAACATGTTTTATTTTAAAAGAACTGAATGTTGAGTTTAAATGAAATGTTAAGCTTATAATTTTACACATCTTTACCAGGGAGACAAATAAGTGTAAGGATTGACGAGTACTACGTGTTTAACACTATCAACAGCCTGGAACAACAGACATAACAATGGCTGATATGAGCAATAACAAAATAAAGGTTCCTCTGCTGTGTTCTCTTTTTGTCCAACAAGCTGATGTCCTTCTGGACCCAAAGACAGCCAACCCATGGCTGGTTCTGTCAGAGGATGGAAGGCAGGTGCAGGATGGAAACAGAATGCAAAATGTGGCAGATCTCCCTGAGCGGTTTGACAGAGCTCCATGTGTCCTCGCCCTTATGGTAATAAAGGTTGGGTTTTATGCCTCGCTGTTTAGGGTGGGGCCCGTCAACCAAATAACTTCAACCAAAATGTTAAAAGACGAAAAGTGCTATTTTGAGCTAATCTCTGTGTCTTTTCAAATATTTCTAAAAGGATGATCCTAAAATGTTTTGTAATACTCCTTCACATGTTTTATTTATTTAATTTTATTTAGCAAATCAAACACAAAAATGGCTTCAGACCCTTTATTCTTGTCTCTGTAGGGTTTTACCACAGGGAGGCGGTACTGGGAGGTGCAGGTGGGAGATAAGACAGCGTGGGACCTGGGTGTGGCTCGGGCATCTGTCAAAAGGAAAGGCGTGGTCACTCTGAGCCCAGAGGACGGATTCTGGGCTATCTGTCTGAGGAAAGGAACTGAGTACTGGGCCTGCGGAGGAGAGGCGAAGCTGCTGTATCCTAGCCAGAGGCCACAAGTCGTTGGTGTGTTCCTGGATTATGAAGATGGGACTGTGTCCTTTTACAATGCAGAGACTCGGTCACACATCTACTCATTCACAGAGTACCACTTCACTGAGGCCATTTTTCCCTTTTTCAACCCGGATACAAATGACGACGGCACCAACAGATCGCCGCTGACCATCCTGCCAGTTAATAAGCATGTCTTCAGCAGGGATTTAGAGGACATTACTATATGACATTTTAAATATGAATCCAATGACTTTTTGGTTCATTTAACACTCCTTGTAACATGGTTTTATAAAACACCATGTTCCCTTTTAGAGACTTATTGTATATATGTCCAAAGATTCTTAAAATGAAATCTATTTATGCAGTTATATAGTCTTATATTGGAAAAAATATAAAAAATGTAACCATTGAGACAATTTTTTCAGGGAATAGAAAATTATCACAAGTACTTGTATTTATTGCATAACAATATGCTTTTTTTTATTTAAAAAATACACATATGTAAAGGATATGGAAAGTATTTAATAGTAGTTGTATGATAACACTATCACAACTAGTACTACTACTTTTAACAAGAAATATTGAATGTTTAAGTGGTTTTATATATGTTTTTATATAGTGGATTTATATATTATTAACAGAATGAATCAATTAACTCTACAAGTTAAGCTAAATAAAGTTGAGATTGTGGTAACCAATCAGTTGGCATGTTATTTGATGGATGGATGGATGGATGGATGGATGGATGGATGGATGGATGGATGGAAGGAAGGAAGGAAGGAAGGAAGGAAGGAAGGAAGGAAGGAAGGAAGGAAGGAAGGAAGGAAGGAAGGAAGGAAGGAAGGAAGGAAGGAAGGAAGGAAGGAAGGAAGGAAGGAAGGAAGGAAGGAAGGAAGGAAGGAAGGAAGTTTAATATTCACATTGTAAAAGAAAATAGCTACTATATTACCAAACCTTTTCATATAACCACTTGGAGCAATGAAAAAAGAACTGGTATTAGGAAAACAAGGCTGGACCCCTGTCATAGATGATAAGGTGGGTTGCAGATAAAAAACACAAACTTATTGTTAGAGTATTTCTCAGTGTAATATAATGCCACTCCAAAAAAGATTTATGTATTTCAAGTCTTTTTGCAGATCAACTAGTTGCTATTTTTTTACCGTTATCTTAGTTTTTAGCCACACCTAAAGGTATTCTTTATCTAACTGCTAACCTGTCACTAATAACCACATATATATATATATATATATATATATATATATATATATATATATATATATATATATATATATATATCCTATTGTTGAAATGAAAAAGGTAGAGCAAAACATCTTTTCATTTATGAAATCTAAATGAGGGAAGCTCAACTGAAAACTCTGCAACTGAACTTTCAGATATATGAGCTCTCAGAAATCTTGGATTAATTTTGTTAATATTTGAGTAACATGGGAGCTGTTGCATCTGTTGTGTTATTCTTTTATTAACCTCCACAAAGGGGCAGTCTTTAAGAGCATTTAAGAGATCAATCCCTCTGTCTGCAAAGGATACAAACCCAACTGACATCACAGCACATGTCCACATTAAACAACCTGTCACCTTAATGGTGATCAGATTAGTGCAGAAATAGGATTAGCCTCAAGGCAGATGGAGCATAGAGACACACTTCTTCACTCTGACACATTACTTTATAATTAATGATTCTATCCCATGTGATTATGTATATTATGCAGAACCCAATCTAAATTATTTTACAGACTAAGTTATTAGGAATCAGACTTAGATCTGTTCAGTTTGTCTGACAGGGAGCACTGGAGGAATTATAACGAGATGAGGGATTTAACGTGTCATCCAGGCTCTGGGGCGGGGACACACAAATCTCACAAGGCCTAAAGGATAATACTGACAAACATTTGTCATCTCTTTAGTGTCGAAGAACATGCTGGAATGGACAACAGATGAGGGTAAAGCAAATATATCTACTAAATTTATTAGACTAGATACTATCATATTGATTAACTTCCACTGCGCTGCTTTATGCAGACGTTTCCTGTATCATCAGCTGTTCGGAAATGCATTAAGCTCTCCAGAATTCAAGGATTTGTCTGATTGCAAGAATTTACTGAATGCTTTAAAGGGCGGTGTGTCCCCCTTAACTAGGATGCTCCTGACTTTAAGACTGCAAACTGAACTCAAGATTTATTGCTTGGGGTTAAAATTCCAACAAAAAAAAATAGATAGTGAGCATTTAAAAAAAACAGCTTCTGTTTTTACAATAAGCATTATGAATCTACATAAAATGCAATTAATTAATTGATTTTATAAAACTATTTTTAACTACTTTTTTTTGTTTGTTTCCAGAGTTTCACAGATTAACTGATCTTAGCTCTGTGATTGGCTGAGCCTGCAGAAAAAAATAGTGTGATGTCACCGGTGGTGGACGAGACAGCCGGGGACCTACCAGTTAGAGATGTGGGGATGATGAGAGGAGGATTGATGCCCACCTTCCCAGGTTTGTGTTGATTGATCACAGGATATAGTGAAGAAAACATTTAACTGTATGATTTTTTATATCATTGTGTTACTCTGCTACGACAGCATTCCTATAATGAAAATGACACAATACTTCCTTAGAATAGTTTTGCTTAAAAAATGAATAGCATTTCAACTTATTTATGTGTTAGATAGCTAAAGGCATATCACGCATCCAATATTAGCAGTATGGAGTTTTCTAAATCATAGTGGAAGTTTAGATGGGGCTGACTCCTGCTGGGTGTACTGTGAAACAAAGGACAAATATGTTAAAATGCATGCTAACTGCCACTGCTAGACACGGTGGAGGATCTGGCATGCTGTGGCTCTCTTTCTCTTTTCTCCTGCAAGCTAGTTAGAGTGCATGGCAGCCTGAAGTTTTTTTTAAATATTGGGACATGTCAAATAGAAACCGGTGACCTCTGACAATGATGATGACAAAAAAAACTTTAAATCAACACAGGCGGGGTTAATTAAAGATAAAATTACCCTCCTTTCATGTTCATCTTAGTCCATGGACTAAATCCTACAAAATTCCCCTGGATTGAGCTGGTAACAAGACAGGAGCTAGGATTCTGGTTGGACAACAGATGTTGTCCAGACAGGAAAGGTTGACATTTACTAGTTGCACAACAGGCTAAGCTAAATAGATGACGGATGAATGTACAAGTTTTCATTTGTTTTTTTTTTCATCTTTGTCATTCATTTTTTGATAACCAGAAACATCTCTAGTATATTTGGGCTTTGTTTAAAAAAGGGTTTTTATTATGTCATAATGCCAAATATTCATTTGCATTAAAAAAAAATTGAATTTTTTTCTATTTTCTAATCGAGTTTTAAGTTATATTGTCCTTTGTTTTTTTTTTGGAACTGACATGTCCTTTGTTGGCATTTATTTTCTTGTTTTTATGCTTTTAGAGACAAAAGTTCTGTAATCAATGTCAGTACTGAAATCACTTTCTTAATTTATATGCTATGACTTTTTTTTTCTTTGTTTGCTGTTCATTTCTTACACATAAATAAATGCAACTAGTTAATGTTTTAAAATATCCTATTTTTGCAGGATAGTAAACCAACTATTTGAAATTCTCCGCTGCATCAACCCACTACAACATCTTGTAGATGTTTTAAATTGTGTTGACTATGTTAAAAAAAATTAGCTGCTTTTCACTAATGTACCAGTTAAGGTAGCTGAAACTGTTATGAAATGTTAGATTGGCATTCACCTAAGAAATTGAACCTGAAGATGGTTCAACAGAGTTTATTTGAAAATATGATTATTTTCTGGTTTCCCAGATACCCTTCGTGACGTGAAACCATGGAAGAAGCATCACAATTCAAAGATGAAAGGTAGAATAACTTTCAAAAACTCCGCTTTGCACATTTGGGTTCACATTATCATGACTGTGTCTTGTGTCTCCAGCAGACCCTCAGCGGCTGTTTCGATTTCCCAGAGAGCATCTGGAGGACCTGTGTCTGCGTCTGCAGGAGGAGAACAGTTTGCTCAGACAACACGCACGGACACAGGAGCAGCGACTCCGCAGGTAACATCTGAACAAAGATGGGGAATAATACAGTAGAGACGTTGAGCGCCTCTGAAACCAGTACTTACAAAGATTTCTGGTCTCAACAACTTAAACAGTTCAGTCATATAAAGGCAGGGTACCTGGTGTAGATGATGATGATGATGATGATGATGATAAAGGCGACGATGATGATGACTACGACGACACTGAGGATGATGTTGAAGACGGTGATGATGATGATGATGATGATAATGATGATGATGATGATGAAGATGATGGTGATGATGGTGACACGACGATGAGGATGATGATTATTATGATGATGACAAAGGTGCAGATGACAATGATAATAATAATATAGAGGATGATGATGATGAGGATGAAGATGATGACTATGATGACCATGAGGATAATGAGGAACATGATGACAAGGAGGAGGATGATGACAACGACGCCAACAAGGATAATGATGACGATGAAGATGATATTGATGACGACAAGGACGATGATAATGATGGTGACAATGACGACGAGGATGACTCTGTTGAAGAGGATGATGATGATGATGATGATGATGATGATGATGATGATGATGATGATGATGATGATGATGATGATGATGATGATGACGACGAGGATAATGATGATGACGACGAGGATAATGATGATCATGATGACGATCATGATGATGAAAATGATGATGATGATTGCCCTGCTGACAGCATTTCATGGAGGCTGATAAGATTTTTGTGATAGAAAACTAAAAAGTGAGAGTTGAAGCACTTTCTGATTAACATTACAAAATATTCAGGGATAATATAGGAAAGAATTGCTTTCACTAAAAGTTCACCTGATGCAATGTTTCCATTACTTAACTTTTAGAGTAGAACCTGAAACCAGTGAGTAAGAAGGTAGCCTGTGGCTATGCATTAGTTCAAATTAAGCCTTAACTTCCTTCAAAACTTTTGTTTTACTGCAGGATGTCCACAAAGCTGATGCGTCTTCGTCAGGCCCGTCCGGGGTCCGGTCCTGTCAAGGACAGGGACATGGAGGAAGCCATCCAGGAACTGGAGGCCCGGGTAGCGATGTTAGAGAGTCAAAAGGAGGTGCTGCAGAATAAACTCAGCATGGCCAAGCAGCACATCCTGGACCTCGGGGCTCACATGCCTTACAGATACAGCAAAGGTGGGATGTCAGCAAAGACCATTCTTAGCCATCTCACACTACCACTAACGGAGGTTTACCAAGAAAAAGCATTAGATTCATTTTAAGATCAATTTGAAAAGTTATTGTTTCGTGACTGAATTATCAGTAACTGAAAAGTTGTTATACAAGTAAGAGTGGATGCAAGAGTTCTCATATTTTGGTATGACTAATGCATAAAGATCAAGATAAATAACCCTCCACACACATTCAAATGAATTTCTGTTTGAAAGTTGAAGAGAAACACAACAGAGTTGGAGCCACCACCAAGGTTTGGCATTATTCTGGTTGGATCTCCAACCCTTTTTATTGAAGGATTCAAATATGAGGTTCCTACTGTTCATGGCAGATCTGTGGCTTAATGATGACAGCTCAGATGTCAGAAGAGCAGAAACTTCTCATCAGTGCTGCTTGTGTTTTCATTCTGTTTCAGGTAAAAACCCAGAGGGGGAGGCAGGAGTCAGGAGGGCAGCCCGGACTGCTCCTGCACGATACGGCCTCACACTGGAAGAAACCAGAGCAGAGATGGAAAGATTGTAGGTGGACGTGTGTAAAAAAAACACTTATCTTTAACACATCATTCCTCAACTTCCTTGTACATAAAATCCATTATCATCCAGCAGGTCCAGTATGACGGACCAGGCGAGGATGACAGAACTGGAGCTGACAGCTCAGAATCTCAGAGACACTCTGAGAGAGAGAGAGAAAGAGATGGAGGGAACATTCAGAGAGCTGAGGAAGCAACATGCTGACAGACACAGGTAGATTTACAGACATTAGAGATGGTGAATAATATTACAAAAAAAAGTCAACTATTTGCATAAATACATATAAGTATTTACAGTAGTAGCCATTCAAAATGTCCCAACTTTTCTTGATGAACCCTTGGCTGGTCCTTGACTGGTCCCCTATACGACTCCTTTTTACACATCAATCTTTGTACTAAAATATTCTTTCTTTCATGATTTGTGGACATTAAGATCTAAACAGAAGCATTTTCTCCTGGTCAGAACCTGTAATTTTGTGAAAGGGTGGAGTCAGAGTTAAACATTTTGCTCGCCCAGGAAAGGGAGGGTGGGTCATTCCAGTGGCTGGAAGTTGGGGGGGATTTTTCTGGGCGTTGCAGGGAAGTAGGCTGCCATTTGGGTGGTGTTTGACTGGGAAGGACCATTTTGAATGGTTGGTACTCTATTAATCCCAAAAATGTACTTACCATTTGAAAAAAAGAAAATGCATTTGACTGTTGCAGAACAACTATCCGAGAAAATGTGGATCTGATCCGTCTGCAAAAGCAGCTCTCAGAGAAGAGTACAGCCCTGAGAGTGAGCCAGGAGAAGTTTGCAGACCTGCAGGAGGTGAGACCTTATCTCTGTCCTCTACTACTTCTGTACATTGTTAGTCTTCTGAAATAGCACATAAACCTGACATTATCTTACTAGCCTGCTGTCTGTCTCTCCCTAGGCATATGAGAATCAGCTAGAGGAGGTATGGACCTCTATATACAGAGAAACCCTGACTTTTCCAGATGAGAGTGGTCTTATTTATTGTGTGCACTGCAGAGTCAGAGGGTGCTAAGGGAAAGTCAGGGCGCTCTGTTGCAGAAAGTGGAGGAGCTGACTGAACAACTGAAGCAGGAGAGACAAAAAGCTCTGACACTAGAGGGACAGCTCAACACCACCACTCTGTCTCTGCAGAATCTGGACAAGGTAACTAATCTGCACCCTTGTGTGGTAGGTTTATTTGTGACGCTGTCAGGTTGAAAATAACGCACCTTATTTTCCTGCAGCTTCAAGAGAGGATCATAGACCTGGAGGGAGAGAGGGATCTGATTAAAGAAAGCTATGATACTCTACTAAAGAGGTAGGAAAAATGACATTTGAAAGGTGATCTTTTGTTTATATGTAAAGCTACGGACAGTTCAGAGAGGACAATAGAGATATAACAAATAAATCATGGTTGGAACAACTGAAACTCTCTGTTATTGTAGGGTGTACTTGGCATACCTTTCCCCATTTTAATATGTGTCAAATAATAAGCTCTCAACTGACAAGCCAAGCATCGAGAGCTCTTAAATGGTAAAAACGGCCAATGGCTTCCTCTTCCCAATCCTAATTGAGAAGAGGAAGCCATTGTTGAAAGAAAACCAAATAAAGTCTCATAAGTGCTATAAGTATTATAAGGGCTATAAGTGTCATGACTCAGAACAGAGGGACCCAGTATTCAGGGCAAGGCAGACAGTGAGATATCTCAAAAACATGGATTTAAAATGAAGGGCTGCAGGTCTGAGGTAGCAGCAACTAGGGCGTCTGAGGCAGGAACCTCTACTGGAGAGAAATACAGGTTAGTGACCATGATAATCTGACGGAGGATGAATTATGAATGAGTGAGTCAGTAACCTGGTTTTACAGTTTAGTCCATGCCCAGAAAATGAAGATGATGCCAGCCGGTTGGCTGACAAGATGCAGCGGACGCTGCCAGAGAGTTCCAGAGGCTGCAGCCTGGAAGGCTGCAGAACGGGCAGGAAATAAGGTCCAAGCAGAAAAAGGAAGACAGGACAGTCCACAGGGCAACATTAAGAAGAAGTGCCAGGTTCAGTCCACATTAGAACCCAGCAGATGTCCGAAGTCAGGTCAGGCAAAGAGGTGAATGAAATGAGCAATTAAGCCGGCCATCAGCGCCAAGATCATGACAAGACATGTAGAGAAGATAGCAAATGGAAACATAAACTTAGACGAGCTAATGTGAGAGGAGAGGGGAACACAGTGTCATGGGTGTCAGAAACCTAACAACACATATCAAGTTGATCAAATCATCTCCTTGGTGAAACATGGTGGTGGCAGCATTATGGTTTGATACGGGGGGGTTCTGCAGGGAGAAGGATCCTGGTGAGGTTGATGTGGCTAATACAAAATACACCTGTTACAAACTGCAAAAGACTTGAGTTTAGCATGAAAGTTATAATAATACTGAGCACAGGCCAGAGCTTTAGTGGTATGATTTAGAGCAACGCTGCTAATGCTAATCTGCTGCAATGGCATGGTCCAACAAAAAAAAAAAACTGCATCAAGGCTTTGTAATCTGAGCTTAAAGATGCTCTTTTTCCAACATGAATACATTTGAAATAACTTGTAGATAAGAAGAACTTTTAGAAATGTAATCTTCTGGAATGCAGATATTTAAAGTTGTTGCTGTTGCTGTTATTGCACAACATGAAGGAATACAAAGGCATGACACAATATTTCAATTGCTTCACATGATCTTATAAAAAATCTTTAGATCTTTGTTTTTCAATCTGCTTCCCCAAAAATACTTTGAAATTCTAGGTTTTAATGTAAGAAAAAGAGAAACATATCTAAGGGGTATGAATACCCACTACTCTGTTTTATATTTATTTCAATAGATATAAGGATTTGATTTTCAACATTGCTCATGTGACTCTAACTGTACAAATTAGTTTCTGTTAGTATCTAATTTTAAATGTGTTTTTTTAGGTAACCTTTTTGCTTGTCAGTACTTTGTCTACCCAGAAACCTCCTGATCTCCAAGCTGAAACACACAGAGAGGTGCAGCATGACAGGTTGGTGGAGAACATCCTTGCACCAGATCTCCACCAGAGACTGGAGGGGTTGCTGCGAGAAGAGAGGGAGGAGAGGAAAAAGCTGGAGGTGGAAAACGAGAAGCTCACAGAAGAGAAAGACATGCTAGAGGATCAGAGACAGCGGGACGAAGGTTTGCTTAAGTTTCTTTCATTCTCTGTTGGATAAAACCATAATGCTGAAAATACTGAATATTTAATCACATCTAGAGCTATCTGTTTTAATGAGAGAGAGGAAAGAGCAGCTGGAGAGAGAGGTTGAACAGTACAGAGAAAAGGTCTCTGCTCTTCAGGACAGCCTGGATTCCATCACTAAGGTCAGAAATGAACAAACAACCTTCAAATTATAACCATCCGAGTTGTCCTCCTCCCATGGCTCAAACTTTCACACACTCTTTCTCTTATCTAGGGGTTTGATATGAGCGTTGAGGATCTCAGCGAAACTCTTTTACAGATCAAGGTTCGTATTACTTTCTCTAAATAGATGACAGCATTGTTCTCAAATTCTCATAGTTTCATTTCCGACCACAGGCCTTCAGGATGCAGCAGGAGAGCAGGGAGAGCCTGGGTTTCCTCGTGCCTGATGGCAGGATGGACGATTCCTCCCCTGAGCTGATGAAAATCCAGGCAACCCATGCAGAGACGGTTCTTGAGCTGCAGAAAACCAGAAACCTGCTACTGCTGGAGAACAAGATCACCAGAGATCTGCAGGTACACAGCTTTTAAATGTTTAACATACATAAGGTTTAGATGAGACATGTCAGAGGAATAAAACCATTCAGAAATGCATCTCCTCCCCAAGGAAGAATTAAACATGATTAACCAGAAGGTGGAAAGAGAGAGGGAGGAGAGCAGGAGGAGGGTGGCAGAGAAAGACAAACTTCTATCAAAAAGAGCTCTGCAGATCAACACATTACAAGGTAGGACAAGAATGCACCCCTAAAATGCACCACGAATTCAGTTCTGACAACTAAACATTTGGTCATCTGTTTGTTAAAAGAATATAAAAGCAATTAAAGGTGAAAGACAAGTCCTCCAGGTGCCATTATGTGGGGGTCATCTGTGTTCATGCATATATCTGCATAAAGTTTATTCGAAATCTAATTTTTACAGTCCCATTAATAAAAAAATATTAAGCTGATTAGGCTCAATAATCAGACTAAAAGGTTTGTTTTATTTGTCAAAGAGTCTAAATCGCAAATTACATTGAAACATTTAAGAAAATATGGGCAAAAAAAGGAAAATCTCAATTCAAATTCGAAGAACTCTTTTCATTCCCCAACAAAGAGTAAATCAGATTGCAGCTCTCTTTGGTTAACATAGCAATCAATCAAGAAAAATAATAAAGAATTCAAACTATTTCGTTCAACCACATTCCACACTGGTATTGAAACAGATTTATATATACATATACATATATATATATATATATATATATATATATATATATATATATATATATATATATAAAAATGCAAACCAAACAATGGGAACATGGGAACAGCAGAGTTTAAAAGCTAACTGGTTTAGTAAGAAATTTCAATCTGAAAAGGAAATAGAAAATAAAATCATTAACATGCGATCTCACATAATAAAGGTGTTGCACTGGGCCCATTTTCTGCCCTTTGAATTATTTCTTAGTGCTATTAAACTTGCATCTTACATATAAGAATCTTCCTTAATTGAAAACTGATGCAAATGTTTCAACTTCCTTCTACTTTTATGTTCAACATTGAGTTAATTTAAAAGATGTAAAATGTAGCCAGAGTTCATTTCAGTATCTCAATCAAAATATAATGTGACAACCAAATACAAAACAATGCAGGACAGTGTTCACCTTTTTCAACAGGTTTTACACTTTTTCTTTTATCAAAATATTGAATTATTCCTTGAAGGGTAGGTAAAATGGTAACAGTGCAGATAAACAGAAATGTCCTGTGATTACCTTCAGCTTTACTGTTTCATATGGGTAAAACAGTATGTTTTTATATGACTCTGCACTCTGCTGGAAGATGTTTTGCACAAATCTTAAAAAAAAAAGGACATAAACATCTAGTATGCACTTTCTAACTTTCATTTGTATTTGTTTAATTTAAATCTAAAGCCCAGTTGAAAGAATTGGCCTACAGCCCCAGGAATTACAAACGGACCATCCCAATACAGTACACCTGGCCTGCAGGGGATCAGGAGATGGTCCAGCCCATTGAGGATGATCTATGCTTTTCTCAGCTTAAATCTGGGGAGTCACTGCTGGAGATACACCTTAAGGTAAAAATCCTCCAATAACCTTTGAGCATTTATCAAGACATCCCATCCACTAACAGCTGGTTTTATAGGGAGCCACCTTCACCCCGGCTGGGCTCCGTATCATGACCAGCCTCCACCCGGGAGCAGGACACCAGGAGGATTTTGTTACCTTCTGCACCTACTGCCTGTTGGACTTTGAGATGCACTCCACCCCGCTGGTGTCAGGGAGCAGGCCAAACTACGGCTTCACATCCCGCTACGCACTGACAGTCCGGGATCTGGGCCGGTTGGGAGGTCAAGGGTCGAGAGTGCGGCTGGAGCTCCACCAGGCGCTTGGAGGAGTCCAATTCGTCACCCATGGAAGTGGCAGCATGTCACTCATGGGCGCTATGGAGAAGAGAGGAGAACGAATCTGTGGCAGTGTTAGTATCACAGGTGAGTAAGGATATAGAGCGGCTGAGGCTCATATCTGGTTTTCTTCCCTGTTCCTACGTATTTTTATATTTTGTTTTTGTTTGTTTTATCAGGAACTGAGGGGGGAGTTATCAGTGTTGTGGATTTCTGGGTGCGCCTCTTCCCTCCTGCTGAACCCATCGTCACTGTGGAAGAGGTTGGAGCTGAAAGGAGGACAGTGACACAAAGAAGTCCGGTTCAGATCCCACTTGGCTGGCAAGACAGTGGCCAAGAGGTAAAACAGAGATAGGAGCTGTAAAGGACAACTTTTATCAGGTTCTGGGTGTTGAATGAAACAGTAGTTATGGTAACCAATTAGACTATTATTCCACAGGTTCTGGTTACATGGGAGATTAAAAACAAAAATGTTTGCCGCCAGATTATATAAACTAATTCTTATGCCTTTACTGGAAATAATTCAGTTTGTTTATATGGATCTATTTCATAGCACATCTCACATAATCTCACAGCAAAAGCTTCAGTGGTATGATTTAGAGTTAATTCAGTCAAATCATACATACAGATACTACTTTCAAGCATTTCTGGTAACTTTCAGCAAGCCACTTATCTTTACAGAATTGATTTAATGCTGTAATTTTGCAGGATTTTGAAGTATAGAAAGCTTGATTAGAATGGCGCATCATCTGAATTAAATTGAAATCTGGACTTGGATTGGGTCTCTCCTAAATTTGACTAAAGTTTGTTGCTTTTCCTTATGAACCATTTATAAGCTGGCTTTTTGCAGCTCTTTCTTATTAAGGAAATACTGTTCCTAGCTAAAGGGCTGTGTTTACTACCGTTGCAGTGTGTTGCAGTGAGCTTGTCTCAGGTATGATGCAGATATTTTTGATTTATGTCCAATTATGAAGCTTGTCTGTGCTATGTTATTCCATGCCACAAGAGGGACAATCACAAACTAGCTGTAGTGAGGACATGGAAAAATGCAAGTGGCAAGTTTGTATGATAATGGAGAGACATTAGGGGAAAAAAGAGTGGGGATCCAGGTAGATCAGACTTGACCAATCAGAGGCCTCCTTTCTCTCCTCTCTTTGCGACGCTATCTGCAACACTGTCTTCGATCACCTACAATTTTGGGGAGGTGCACCAGAGTGTCTGCAGAACGGGGGGTGGGGCATATCTGCATTAACTGTGACACACACACAGAAGACCTGCTTTCTGAGCATAAACCAGGCTTAAGCCAGGTAGGGCCTGTAGTGCTTTAGTTCTTTTTGTGACCTACTGGATGAGTTGTTGAAAATCTCTTGGTGTAACTTGGTAGGCCACCTAACAGGGATTACTACTGTTATGTATTTATCATAAATGGGTAATGACTCTCACTGTGAATCTATGAAGTCCCAAGAACTTGGAAAAGGCTTTGACTTTTAATGATTCAGAGATGTCTGTGATTCCAAAAAACTAAAAAAAAACTTGGTTTTTAAGTATGAAGACATTTCGCATCCCATCCAAGCGGCTTTTTCAATTCAAAATGTCAGAATTAGCGTTGAGTTCAAACCGTTATATAGTATCCCAAAGACTTGTTTTGGCTTAGACAACATGCAAATTCAACCAAAAGAACGGGTCTGCCCCTTAGGAATGGGGAGTCGTTTTTGGGTTCTTTTTTAGCCTGCAATACCTGATATTGGGCTGAACCTTTATGTTTATCTAAGGTCTGGGGGTTTTGTCTGTAGGATGCACTAGTCTCTGTTTAAGTGTCTTGTTTGGTTTGAAATGTATTAGGATTTTGTGTTTGGAGAAAATCCTCCTGAATTTCTCAGGGACTCCAGCAACATATGGAAGACAAGGTTTTTGCGTTAAAATTTTATCACCGCTATGTTCTGCTGTGTGTATTTTGGATCTTGTCTGAATTGACAAACACCCAGTTTGGGTATCAACAGGTTTGGAAAGCATCTTTGATGTGTGATCTTCCATACCTACAATGTTTTGGAGTCTTTTTTTAATTGTATTTTTGAGACAAGAAGAGAGTTTTTATATTTTTTTCCAGCACTGTATAAATGTCAGTGATGAATAATGTTTCCCTGCCCTCTGATGATATTTGTCCTTTCATTTCATTCATGGCAGGAGTTACATGACTATGGTGGTGGGATCCCCAATGAACTGGTGGTGATGCTTGAGCGCTGTGTGGGCCTCAACGCTCGCTGGCCGGGACTCCTTCCAGATGCCTACCTGACGTACCGTCTGTATGACCTGCCGCCTCATGTCTCACAAACGGTCCAGTGCTCAGTTGATCCGGTGTTCAACGACGTCAGCAGTTTCCCACTGGCGGTAACAACAGATATATTGCACTACCTCAGGTGTGCTGGTTAAGCTTCTGCTATCTAAAAAAAAAGAATTAATTTATATTTTCTTTGAGATAATATTGAGTTTGCCTTTGCCAGGTCTAGCAGTCTGTGGGTTTATGTATTTGATGACAGCGATGAGCAGATACCACCAGCCTACCTGGCCAAGACGCCCATCCCACTGAGAGCTCTAGCAACAGGCAGAGAGATCAGAGGTGAGGCTGTAAGGAATTAAACGAAGATCAAGGATGATTATAGCTAAGAGCTGGTTTGGGACTTATATTGCCTATGTTGGGTCAGGTGATTACGTTCTCAGAGATCCTGCAGGTGGACCTCGGGGAATGGTCAGAGTCATGCTAAAATGGAAGTACCCATTTCAGCCACCGGTGGATGGTTTTAAGGAGAGATGGGGGATGGAGACGGGAGAGGTGGACGAGATGATTAAAAGCAATAAAAAGGAAGAGGAAAGAAAGGCAGAAGCATCACAGAGGCCGACGGCCAAGCCAAGAGCAAAGGTGATGCCATTTCTCTCTCTTGGGTCAAAACACCTCCAGATGTTGCTCTGAAGAGCTGAACCTGTTTCTATTCATTTACAGACTCGGGATCTCCAAAACGACAAACCAGTAGCTGTGCAGAAAGAGACAGAAGCTGGGGTAAGAAATCCTCCTGATTTAGATTCCTGGGCAGGAGAGTACATCTTTCTTCTTGGATTTAGGCATAATAGTACAATCTGTTGATTATCTGGTACAACAGTTATTGAAATATAACCTCTACAGGAGGGACTTTAGGGAAGCAGCTCCTTGGTTTTGTTGTTTTTCAGCCAATGATACCTGTTTGTTATCTATGTTGAGTGTTTCTGGTCTCTTCCGATAAAAGGAGTGATTCTAAGTGATTAAAATATATGTTCTTTTAGTTGTTTTTTAAGGGAATTAATTTACATGCATTTTAATAATGCATGAATTTACAATTGAATTTGATTGAAATTATTTTTTTCTACAAGAAGCCTCAGCGTCTACCTGTTAAACAGAAGAGCTCACCGGATTTACAGTTAGGCCAAATTATGGCTGTAAAACCACCACCAGCAGACCGCAAAGCTTCCTCTAAGAGGTCCCGTGAAGTGAGAAGATCTCCCTTAACCCTTGAGCCAAGAGTGACAACACCACCCTACAAGTAAGGGGCTTATTTAACCTGTAAAAATCTATTCCACCCTAACATACTGTACTCTTACTGAATTCCTATTGTATCTTCTTTGTTAATGTTTTAAAGGAAAAGTCCGATCAGGAAGGAATAATCAGTGGATCATTATCTATACAAAAAAACTAATACGTGCACTGTGATTTAATAAATTTAACATTAATCAGTAAAAAAAATGAAAATAATAATTTTCATTGCGATCATTGAGTCCGGGACCGGCCATTTTTACCAAATATAGTAATACCCTACTCCTGACATCTTCCAGCAGTGAGGTCACGGTGCGTAAGCCGAGCGCTATTCTCCCCACTTTACAAGCAAAATCAAAGGGAACTACTAGCAACTACCCCTGCAATCAATAACACTTATTTAAGATTTAGAGAGGATTTCACCATTTAAATTCGCGAGAGCTATAGTTAAACTAACAATGCCCACGTGAATGGTCAGTTGGATGTTGTAATACATCTCATAAAAGTGAAAAGAAAATGAGTTATTTCACCTTTCCGATTCATGATCCACCACTGGTTCGTCATTGGAGAAGGAGAATTTGCCATCGAACTTCTGGCCAGAGAAAAAACACGTAATGTGTAGCCAAAATTTCGAAAAAATTATGTTTTCAAGACGACTTGGATAATGGCGCGTTGTGACAAACGCCAGATACAGCATTAGGACTTGCTCAACAGCCAATACCGCACCGTGATGTCATAAACCGGTAGGGGGCAGTAGTGTTCTTTGACAAACATGGATGTCTCCAGTAAAGCACATTCAAATGAAATTACTCTTAATTAAAAACACTTTTATTGAACAGTATGTAATAATTTTATGTGTAAAGTACTTTGAGAAGTTTGAATTCTAAATCTGACTGGACTTTTCCTTTAAAAAGTGTTGGGATAAAACAGTGATTCGTTAAAATTTTTTCCATTCCAGAGCTCCAGTAGGGTCATCCTCCAGACGATCCGCTGCCGCTCCATTAAGGGGAAGTTCTGCCACCGATGTAGGGATTCAGGTCAGCTAACACATTTTCTGACACGTACACACAATTCTGTCCTTTTTAGGCAAATATAAAATTAGTGTAACATAGAATTAAATAGCATTTAAAGCAAATGTCACAATGTGTAGGCTTATTTTTTTTTCCTTTGTTCCAGGACCTTTCTTCTGTGTCAGTGTTCAGTGAACAGAAGGAAGAAGAGACGGATGAGAGCGGTAATCCTGCAGCTACTTTCTATCACTGCATAGATGTCTCCCATCCTTTTGAATATGGAAAGAAAAAATGTTTAATCTCAACCTTTTATAATTTAACTATAATTGTCATTCTCTCTCTTTTCTTTTGTTAACACTCCTGCAGAGGACAGTGAAGCCCCTGAATCTACAGCATCCAGTTCTACACAAAGTGACATAATAATCATACCACCAAAACGAAAAATGAGGAAGGTACTGGATATTTGGGAATGAAAGAAAATGACACAGAACAGAGGGACTCAGTATTCATGCAAGACAGACAGTGTGATAACTTAGAAAGTGTTTATAAAAAATTAGGGGCTGCGGTATCAGCAGCTAGGGCGTCTAAGGCAGGAACCTCTACAGGAGAGAAACACAGGTTAGTGACCATGATAATCTGACAGGGGATGATTATGAACTCATGAGTCACAAACCTGGTTTGAAAGTTCAAACCTTGCCCAGAATGAGGATGAGTCGGCTGACAAGACACAAGATGTCCAAAGACAGGTCAGGCAAATAGATCAGACAGGGGTTGGCAGGGTCAAAGGTCCGAACACAGAAACAGGTCGGAATCAGGCAAACAGAACACTATAAGTAACATTAGAAAACTCTCAAACCCAAGGCTCAAGAATAATCTAGCATTAATGGTTGAGACCAAGCAGCTTAAATCAAAGCAGGTGGATCAGATAAGCAGTAATGAGAAACAGGGCAATGAAATTAGCAATTAAGCAAGCCATCAGCGTCAAGATCATGAAAGTTGCAGTAACTCATGTTTTTTTTTTTTTCTTTAACCAGTTTTTTTTAGGTGCTTATAGCTTTAGAAAGATAAGATCATTTGTAGTGGTCTGTCTTGCACCTGACCTGGGGAAGGCTCTGACTGAAGACACTGTTGTTGTTTAATAATCCTTCTTAAGAGGATTCTTACCGTTTTCAATAATGTTCTTATCTTCATGAAGAATTATTTTAGAGGAGTTTCTAGAGCTGAGCTGGCCCTCCCTATTAGCTTGTTTAGCTTCTTTAAG